GCCACGTACGTTTAAAAAGATTTTCATTAAGTTTTAAACTTGCTACTAATTTTTTTTTCATATTTTTAATAAAGTTATAAACAGTACTTGGAGTTTTTTTGATTTCATATTTTTTTGTAAAAAACGATTAATTTTTTTCGAAGTCTTATGAACGTGGACTTGGCGCGGTTTTTTTACAGTGAAACTGTTTTTGTTCGGTATCTTTTTCTGTCATTTTGATTCGTTAACGGATTCTTCTATATAGCGCTCGTAACTCAAAACAGCAGTTGTAGTCTAGTCAACAAGTGCCTTTTTGGTCAACTTTTTTTAGCAGTCTCCGAAAATTATTATTGAGGTGTCATTTGATTCGGAATGGCATCTAGATGATTTTTGAAAAAAATGAAGTTCCGCTTGCGAAAATTGCAAAAGTTATTAACAATTAACTAAAAAAAAAAGGGGGTTTGGTTTTTTGAAAATATCTCAAAAACTAATAAAGATTTATTAAATTTAAAAAAAAAATTAAAAAAGTGCCATTCGGCAGCCGAAATGGAAGTAGATTTCATTATGAATAAAAACGAGTGTAACAGCAAATTTCATATTTGGCATAGGGGAATAGGACTTAATATCAAGACTACACATATATGTTATGATACCCAAATTAAAGCTTATTCAAAGAGCTTTCAGATGCAATTTACAGAGATTCAATAAGTTATCCCATTCCAAAGTTATTCGAGTTAGAAAGTGAAAAAATATGAATTTTTATAATTTTGAAAATTTTCAAATTCTGGCATTTCTAAATAGTTTTGAGACTACAGATGTGATGTGGTAATCAAACTAAAGCTTATTTGAAAAGCTTTAAGGATGTATGAGCGTGACAACAATTTTCGATTTAAGTCCCCAAAATTTTTTCAAAGATAGATTTATACCCAAAGAATTTGCTGTTAAATTTTCAGCATAGGTAACGGGGCAAATTTTTAAGAAAATAATTATTAAAAATTGACATAAAATATATTGCTCTTATTATGGAGAAACGGGTAGTCTTGACGCTAAATCATCAAATATAAATATGTTAAAGAACTTTTTATATGAAAAAAAACTATAAATAAGAAAGATAATACTTATAGTAAGTCAATAAAATCATAAAAACACTATGCATCGGTGCATCCTAAAGAGAAAAATTAAAATGAAATTTAAGGAAGTACAAGCGCCAGGCGGGGTGGGGATAGGTATCGACTCTAGCGCGGTAAGGGGAACGCAGTAACCATATGATTTTTTTCAATATATAGATATACATTTAACATTGGCTAGTGGCGGCATTTATTTTTCTTTTAATTAATACACTTTAATTAGTCGGGCAAGTGTAAATGTTTTTGAATGAAATTTATCACTAATATATTTACTTTCATCCACAAGTTTTTTAAAAATATTCTCAACTTTAAAGTTAATTATTTATTTAAATGATCGGGCAATCTCCTTCAAATTTTCGGAATTTGTTTAGACATATTTAAACTGCATATTGGCCAGGTGCACGATGGTGCTGCCCTCATTTTTCATGCTTTTCCTATGTTAAATCAAACGGAGTAATTTAGTTCCAGTGGTCGCCATTAGCGTTAAATCATGCTCTTCCCGTAAGATTTACACGTAAAAGTGGTAATCAGCGCCAGCCCTCCCCACCATATACTTCGCACCCTGCCAATCAAAAAAAAATCAAGCCTTTTATCAAAAGTTGTCTTGGTGCTCGTACTTCCTTAAATAAATTCAGTTTAATAATTTTTTCTCGCCATGACTTAACACTTGGCAACGTTTCACTTTTATTATGAGCGCCACAAGAAGCTGGTGTCGGAAATATTAAGCACGGATGTAAATATAACCTCACTTTGAGATTTAAAAATCAAAGTAACATGACACATTGACAAACGCGGTGACATTCATATTAATATTTACATTATTAAAAATAATTTTTACATAAATTAACTAATTGTCAATGATATAAATTGAATAAAATAGGACATGCATGACGGTTTTTAAAATTTACACTTGTCAATAATTATTGTTTAAATATTAAGTAACGCAATACAAAACAACAGTGGTTATGATACATAATTATAGTTAAAAAAATTATTTTTCTTGGCTTGAAACACATATTTGTTCAGTTTTTTTCTTTTATTTTTGAAAGATTGATTAATTTTGACCTCTAAGGGTTGTTTCTTACGAGAATGGCCTTTTGTTGCGTCTCAAGAGCTCCGTCATTTTTTAAAAACATTCAAATATTACCGGTAGAAACTAACCAAAAAGCTGTGTTGCCAAATGTAAACTAGGCGTCACGTGGTACTTTCCGTTACCTCACCCCGCAATAGTATAAGCCGATCCCTTCTCTCTATAATTCATTATTCCCCCACTCCCTCTCTCATACATCCTTAAGATGCAATTTACAGAAATTCAATAAGTTATCCCATATTCCAAAGTTATTCGAGTTAAAAAATGAAGAAATATGAATTTTTATGATTTTGAAAATTTTTAAATCCTGGTATTTCTAAATTACTTGACCGATTGAGCTTATCTTCGAACTTGACCTCGGTATCTATCTGTAGAATAAGTATGTTGAGTTTGGTAAAGATCCATTGTAAATTGGCGACGCTATGGTGGTGACAAGCCGCGTTATATCGTATATATATATTAGGGTGATTCATTTCCGCAAAAATTTTTTTTTTTTTCGGTGCTCATGAAAAATATTAATCTACATATAGAAAAAAAAATTCCTACCAAGTTTGAGCTCTTAATATTAATTTTAAGTACTTACAATAAAAATTTAAAGTTTTACCATTTAAAATGCATGTAAAAAAACTTTTTTTTTTTCAAACTTCTAATGCTTAGCCGGCTTTTACAATATTGCAAATCGGTTTGATGGACCTTGTGGGGAATTTCACGCTCTTCAAAAAAGCCTTAAAGTTTTTTTTGTGTAACTCGCACTGGTTCACCGGTAGGAGTCTTCAAAGTACAACTTTTTAAAAAAAATATAATTTCTTTTAATTTTTCGAGCAAATCACCAATGGTAGGAAGAAAAAAAGGACTGACTGATAAAAAAAAAGTCATCCAACCAATATTTAATAAATTTACAGCCATTTTTATAGCGGGAAACGTAAGAAATTGATAAATTATGAGGATAATTGATAACATTATGAGTATACTAACTCATAATGTTATTTAGATTCATTTTTTCTATTTATTGCCATTATATTTCCCTACACTAAGAACTTTTTTAAAATTAGTATGATTTTTTACTCAT